ATATTGCAAATCAAGGCTTGAATTTTTTCTTCAGTTATTTCAGCTTGAGAAAAGCTGAGTGTTCTTCCCTTTTGGTTTTCTAACACCAGGTCTTTCCACTTTTCATTATGGTAATTGGCTTTGTCTTCTTGAGCTGTTCTTTTGAAATCTTTTGTTCAGTTCTTTTATATTGTCATTTCTTCCATCTGGTTTAGCTACTTTCTGTTCAAGAGCAAGTTTCAGAGTCTCTTTTGACATTCACTTTGGTCTTTTCTTCCCTTTCTGTCTTTTTAATAACCTTTTGCTTTCTTCATGGATGATGTTCTTGATGTCATGCCACAATTCATCTGGCTTTCGGTCACTGGTGTTCAATGCATCAATTCTATTCTTCAGAAAACCGAAACTGCCAATGAGTTGACTAGCAACCCCCATAGGTTTCTGAGGCAGTAAATCTTTACAGAAGTAGATTTCCCAGTCTTCCACCTGCAGAGTGGCTGGTGGGTTTGAAATGCCAACCTTCTAGCTAGTAATCAAATGCCTTAGGCACTATGCTACCAGAGCTCCTTCTATTCCTCAGATGATCTCTAAATTAAGGTGGGATAGGTTGGGCGATCTACTTCCGTAGTGATATCGCCTCAGACACCCAAGGAGGGGTCGCTATGAGTTGGGGCCTACTCGATGGCACTTAACAACAACAACAACATAATCAAGGTCATATTTTGGTTCTCATGGACTTGTTTTCATTTTCTTAAGCTTCAACTTGAACTTGCGTATGAGCAGATGATGATCTGTTCTGCAGTCAACCCCCAGTCTTGTTTTGGCTGAAGATATTGAGCATTTCCATTGCCTGTTTCCACAGATGTACTTGATCTGATTCCTGTGTATTCCATCTGGTGAGGCCCACATGTACAGCCACTCTCTATGTCGTTGAAAAAGGTATTTGCAATGAATAAGTCACTGGTCTTGCAAAATTCCATTATGTAATCTCCAGCATCAATTCTATCACCAAAGCCATATTTTCCAACTACTGGTGATTTTTCTTTGTTTCCAACTTTCGTGTTCCAATCACCAGTAATAAACAACACAGCTTGATTGAATGTTTGGTCAAAGACTGGAGAAGCTGGTAAAAATCTTCACTTTCCTCATCTTTGGCTTTGGTGGTTTGTGCGTAGATTTGAATAACAGTAGTGTTAACTGGTCTTCCTTGTAGGCCTATGGATGTTACCTATCACTGACAGCACTACCCTTCAGAATAGATCTTAAAACACTCTTTGTGACGATACATGCCATGCCATTCCTCTTCAATCTGTCATTCCTAGAATAGTAGATCATATGGTTGTCTGATTCAAAATTGCCAGAACCAGTCCATTTCAGCTCACTAATGCCTAGGATATGGATTTTTATGTGTGCCACTTCACTTTTGATAGCTTCCAATTTTCATAGATTCATATTTCAAACATCCCATGTTCTCATTATTAATAGATGTTTGCAGCTGTTTCTTCCCTTTTGAGTCATGCCCCATCAGCAAATGGAGGTCTTCAAAGCTTTACTCTATCCACCACACATCTGTCAGTCTGTCATACTGTGGTGGCTTATTTATTGCTCTGAGGCTGAAAGATATATGACACCAGTATTTCAAATACCAGCAGGGTCACCCATGGTGGAAGGGTTTCATAGGAGTTTCAGACTAAGATAGACTTGGAAGAAGGAAGAGACCATCCACTTTCAAAGTACTGGCCAGTGAAAACCTTATGAACAGTAGTGAAACAATGTCTGATATATTACTTGAAAACTTTATGAATTGCTCAGAAACACTGTCTGATATAGTGCCAGAAGATGAGCCTCTCAGATCAGAAGGCACTCATAGTATGCCTGGGGAAGAGCTGCCTCCTCAAAATTGTACTTAGTCACTAGATTTCACTTTGAAGACTAAGGTGTGCCTAACCCAAGCTATGGTATTTTCAATTGCCTCGAATGCATGTGAAAGCTGGACAATGTGTAAGACTGAAGAAGAACTGATGCAGTGCCAAAAGAATAAACAAATCAGTCTTAGATGAAATACAGCTGGAATGGTACTTAGTAGCAAGGATGGTGTGACTTTGTCTATTGTACCTGTTCATGTTGTTGAGAGAGACCATGGAGAAGGAGATTATGCTTGGAAAAGTGGATGGTCATTGAAAAAGAGGAAGACTCTCAACAAGATGGACTGAGAGAGTGGCCGCAACAATGGGCTCAAACACAGGAAGGACTAAAGGATGGCAGAGGACTGGGCAGTATTTTGTTCTGTTGTACACAGGGAAGCTATGAGTCGGAACCAACCTGACATCACCTAACAATAGTCACTCTGGGATATATTTGAATTCCCACTTAGACCTTTCTTCACTATTTTTGATCAAAGACTTCATAATATTAATTCAAAATATGATTTGTATATGCCTCCTTTATCCTGTCCCAAATAAATGTACCCAAAAGAAAAAAGCACACATCAACTATTACAACTTTATTTCACTTCTCCTTTTTTCTTCTCAAATCTAACTATCTTTTAGGGTCACTGTGGTAGGTAAGGCTGTGTGTCAACTTGTCTGGGCCTGATTTTGACTGGTTGGGCAGTTGGATGTAGTTATTCCCCAGGATGAGACTGGTAATCAACTATATGGTGGAATCTACTGTGAGCAGCTGAGTAGCTGCCTTAGGGATGTGGTCTGCTTCCAGAATAGGCAGCTTTGAGGAAGGCACAACTGGATCCTGCATTTGGCCGAGTCTATCGGCATCTGGCTGAGTCTTCATCTCAATGGCCTGCCATCTCAATGGTCTGCTGATCTTGGGACTGTTAATGGACATGAATTAGTGGCCTGCTGTGTTGCTTGACAATTTTGGGACTGTGCCATTTCACTTGTAGACCTTGGGTTTGTCAGCCACCACAGCCAGCAGCTACCTGAGTTAAGAGAAGCCTCCAGCTTCAGTGGGCAGAGAGCAAGTTGAAGCCCAAGATCAAGGGGCTTCCACTCAGCCCCTAGAGCCGGTATTTTGAACTCAGACTTCTAGCCTCCTAAACTTAAGAGAGTAAATCCTTGTTTGTTCAAGCCATCCCATTTGTGGTATTTTCTGTTAGAGCAGTATCAGAGGACTAAAACAGTCATAATTATTTTCTTCTACCCATTTGAGTTATTCTAAATCTTAAACGGTAAAACTCTTGGCAGAAAAAATGCATGTTTTGGTGGGGGGCCATATATTTATTATAGACTTTATTATAGTCATTGTGTCAAATGGGAAGATTTTATTAAACAGATAAATTATTCAGTCTACACCAAAATAAATTCATCAAAGTGCTTGAAAAATGTTAATTTTAAGTATAACATTACCAACATGAACCAATAAAACACTGAAAGAAGTATTATAATGGCAATATAAAGTATAAGAAGTATTGGCATGTACCACCATCTTCAAATAATTTTATGAACTATGATTTAAAAACAATCATTAAAGTTTGAGGGCTGACATACATTTTTAGCTTAAATATGCATATATCACCAACCCAAGAATACACAACGGATATATAAAACAAGGTATCTTTCTGTCATCACGTTGAAAATTACTTCCTAGTTCATATATATATATGTATATATACACATATACACCACACACACACACACACACATATATATACATATACGTTATATGTGTGCGTGTGTGTGTGTGTGTGTGTGTGTATATATATATATATATACGTATGTATGTATATAGAGTTATTTTGACATTCTAATATCCTTTTATAATCCCTCATCCTGAGCCATTTATACCAATGGTTTGTAACCATGCTGGCACTGGCGTTTGAGTTGTGTGGGGGACATTTTGATGGTTACAATGATAGGAGGTGAAACTGGAATTTAGTGTTTGGTGCCAGGAATGCTAAACATTTATTAACTACTGACACAGTCCCAAACAACTAAGAATTGTCTCACTCAAAAGACCAATAGCCCTGTTGAGAAACATGGCACCCATTGATGATGGCTGTGGGGAAAAAGATACCAGTGACTGACAAAGGGACCCAAAAAGTCACTAGAGATTAGAATTCCCAAGAACACAGGAATGAATAGCACTGGTAAGCAGCCTTCTGGGGAAATGGCAGAATTGGTGGCCTAAGTTTCAGCTTGCAGGGCTTTCATGACCTATCAAGCTCAAGGTAATAAAGGATCTACAACATTCAGCTCCTGCAGCTAACCCTTCTTCCAGGGTTTATGGTTCATAATGTAAGACCAAAAAAAAAAAAAAAACCTTTTAAAAATGGCATTCACCTAGATTTATTTCTATTGTAATTACATTATTTGTAAGAGTATAGAATTATGATGGGGCTGAGGCAGTATGAAATTTCCTGATATTATGATTTAAAATTTTTAATTACTCTTTAGAAGGAGACAAAAAGAAGGATTTTAGATTTCTGAGATTCAGCAAGGTTTACTCCAAAATCAACAGGGTGAGTTGAAGGGAAATGAAAATGAAGATGTGCTTTGTGTTACAATATCAAGGATTTTATTCCTTTTCGAAAAATTACTAGATTAAACTTTACAAAATTCTCCTCTTTCAAAATTATGATATAAATTAAGACACAAGTAAAAGTTCTAGAATCCTATTAAATAAATACTCTTTGAATATATATTCAAAATGTACCGATCTGTGGTTTGCAATTGGCTGATAACCTAAAGTTTGATGGTTTAAATCCAACAAGCAGCTCCACAGAAGAAAGGACTAGCAATCTGCTTCAGCAGAGATTTCAGCTACAGAAAATCCTATGGAGCAGTTCTACTCTGACACATACAGGGTCTACGTGAGTCAGAACAAACTCCCCAGGAATGGGTTATTTTATTGAATATGATAGTTTTAGAAATAATGTCCAGTAAATCAGATTTTAAACCCTGTGATTATAGTTTGATTTAGCACTCATGAAATATATATTCTAGCAAATTCAGAATATCTAAGGGAGATATGAGACAGACAGACATAGTTAGATGTATTTAATTTACCTTGTTTCTAATTGTTTTACACTAGAATGTAACTGCTGTAGGCGCCTATCTGATGCTTCCTCTCTTCCCTGGGCAGACATCATATCCTCCTCCTAGAAAATAAATAAACTGAAGGCTTATTATGAGTATATAAAATTCAGTATACCATTAAACAGCACAAAAACATAGTTCACATTATAAAGTTATGATGCTTCTAGAATTTTACTTTGTAAATTTAAAGACACAACATGACTTGAAACAAACCATGGGAGTACTAAAAAGGGGGAGTGGTGGGAGTTCCTCATCAACCTAGCATTAGGAAAACAATATTCAAAATAGCCATTGTATATAGATTTCTTCCAATATTTCAAACTATCTCTACAGTGCAAGTCTAAAAAAACAAGGCAGGGCTTTGTATGCAGGTAGTCTGCTTCTAGAATTTGCTCTGCCTTTCACTATTAACGAAATCATATATTTGTCTTCTGATACAGTGATGCTTAGAAATATATTAATACAATCCCTAAATTACCCCTATATTCCTAGAGTAAAATTTGCATGGCCATAAATTTTATCAGTATTTATCTCAGATGTTTGAATCCATTCACCCAGCCAAGAATGTCATAGGTGTGTTTATGTAATCTCTTATAAATGCCAATCTTAGGTCAATGTCATAAAATAAAATGACATTTATTTTTTTTTTAAGTTTTGTAACATTTATGTAACCTGGAAATTATTTCAGAAAGAAATAGATAAAACTACCTGTGATGCTCTCATTTAATTTCTATGCATAATTCCAGAGCTTTTTTCATGACCTATCAGGTGACCTTTATCAAGTTGAGGAAATTCTCTTCTGGTCTTAATTTGCGGAGAAACTTTATGATGGATGGGTGTGAAATACTGTCAAACGTCTTTTTGTTGTTGCTGCACCTATACAGGCAGTCCTAAGTTTTTTCCTCTTATATTGCTATTTTGTTGACAGGGTGAATTTCATTAATTTTCAGATATAATAAAACACTGCATTCCTGGAATAAACCATACTTGGTCATGATGTATATTTTATATATCGCAGAATTCAATTTGCTAATAATGTCAAGATTTTTTCGTCTGTGTTCATGAAGGATATTGGACTATTATTTTGATATGATGTTTTCACCTGGCTTTGGTTTTAGGCTAATATTAACTTCATAAAATGAGTAAGGAAGTGCTCCTTCCTCCTCTATTTTCAGAAACAGTTTGTAAAAGATTGGTGTGATTTCATCCACATATGCCTGATAGAACAGAACAGTGAAGCCATCTGGGCAAGAAGTTTTCTTCATTGGAAGGTTTCTAATTATGATTACAATTTCTTTAATTAATGTTGCTTTCTAGTTTTCAAATAATTTCTCCTCGGAAGGAAGGTTGGGCAATCTACTTCCATAGTGATACCACCTCGGAAACCCAAGGAGGGGTCATTATGAGTCAGGTATGACTCAACGGCAAATAACAACAACAACAAGAAGTATGAAACTTAAAGGAATTTGTCCATTTCATTCAAGCTGTCAAATGTAATGGAATGAAGTTCAAAATATTCCATGATTATCCTTTTAAATTCTATAGGTTCTGTAGCATTGTTTCTTCTTCCATTCATAATGTTGGTAATATGTCTTCTTTTTCTTAAAAAATTTAATTATATTTTTAAATCAATTTTACTGATAATTTTAAAGATCCAGCTTTTGGTTTCATTGATTTTTCTTTATTTAACTCATTTATTTTCTATTTTACTAATTTCTGTTCTTTTAAAAATTATTTATTTCCTTTTACTTTGAGTTTAATTGCTCTTCATGTTCTACCTTCATTTTCAATGTAGCTTTCTAGATTGGAAGATTAAGTCACTGATTTTAAACTTTCCTTTTTTCTAAAATAATTGGTGACTACTGCCATATAGTCAATTCCAATGCACAGTGACCCTTTAAGACAGAGTAGAACTGCCCCATAAGGATTCCAAAGCTATAAATCTTTACAGAAGTAGACTGCCTCATCTTTCTACCTCAGAGTGCCTAGTGGGTTCAAACTGCCAACCTTTTACTTAGCAGCCCGGTACTTTAACCAGAGTTCCTAATATACATAATTAGAAATATATATTACCTTCTAAATACTGTTTTAGATGTTTCTTACCAATTTTCATCTATTTGTGTTCATCATCATTCAATTGAAAATATTTTCTAAAACATTTTTGTAATTTATTTCTTAACGCAAGGCTTATTTAGAAGTTAGTTATTTAATTTCTAATATTTGAGGCTTTTCTTGATGTTTTGTTATTGTTAAATTCTAAATAATTTCATGTTCTGTAAGACTTCAATCTTTTAAAATCCATTAAGACTTTTTAAAGGCCCTGTTTATGGTCTATCTTGGTAAATCTTCTGTGGCATCTGGGGGAAAAAAAAAAAGCATACTTTGCAGCTCTAGTGGCATAGTGCCTAAGGCATTTGACTGCTAACAAGAAGGCTGGCAGTTCAAACCCACCAGCTACTCCTCAGAAGAAAGGTTGGGCAATCTACTTCTGTAGTGACACTGCCTCGGAAACCCAAGGAGGGGTCCCTATGAGTCAGATCCAACTCCATGGCAGTGGTTGTGTTTGTGTTTATTCAGATCTTCTATATTCTTATCGAGAGCTCTGGCTGCATAGTGCCTAAGGCACCTGACTGCTAACCAGAGGGCTGGCAGTTCAAACCCACCAGCCACTCCTTGGAAGGAAGAGTGGGCAATCTACTTCCATGGAGATACTACCTCGAAAACTCAAGGAGGGGTCGCTATGAGTTGCAATCAACTTGACAGCAGTGAGGTTCTTTTTCTGGTATATTCTTATTACATTTTCTTTAGGGGGTTGTCTATTGCTCTATCCAAGAACCCTGGTGATGCAGTGGTTAAGTGCTCAGCTGCTAACCCAAAAGATGGTGGATCAAACTCACCAGCCACTTTGTAGGAAAAAGAAGTGGCATATTAATTCTTTCAAGATTACAACCTAGGAAAACCTATGGGACAGTTCTACTCTGTCCTACAGGATCTCTATGAGTTGGGATCAACTTGATGGAAGTGCATTTGGGTTTGATATTGCTCTATCAAGTATTGAGAAAGGTACATTGAAGTCTCTAACTCCTATTGTGGATTTGTCTATTTTGTCAGGTTTGCCTTATATAATTTCAAACTCTGTTTCAAGCTCTATTATTAGACCCACATACATTTGTAATTTTTATATACTCCTGACATATATCTCTTTTTGTCTTAAAGTCTATTTTATTAGACATTAACATAAGACACTTCAGCTTTCTTATGCTTAATGTTTACATAGTGTGTGTGTGTGTGTGTATATATATATATATATATATATATATTTCCCTTTTCATTTTCAGTCTATTTGTGGCTTAGTATTTAAAGTGTTTCTGTTATATTGTTTTCTTGTTTTTAGGTGCTATCCAGTCAGCTATTACTCAGTGACCGTATGTAGAACAGAACAAAACAATGCCCAGTCATGAGCCATGCTCACAATCCTTGCCACAAACTCACACCTTCTATTTCTGAATACTTAAAATTTTTTTCCAGGAGACTTCTGGTGAGATGGAAACATTGTCAGACAAGCTACCTAGAGTCTCTACAATGAAGTAATGAGAAACCAAATGAAACAGATATAGATAATAATCCTGGAAACTTGTATTTCGAAGGAAAGGGTAAGAAGTGGCTCAAATACCAAGTAAAAGAAAAAACTAAATGAAAACAACTATCAAAGAGGGAAAATTTTCAACTGGTCTGACAGCTCAGCCATTTTGAATTTTTACAAGCAGCATTCTGATTGGAGCAACAACCTGATAATCGACACTGCTTGCGGAGGACTGCACAGGCATCCAAACTAGTCACAAGAAAAGGCGTGATGTTTCCCTTATTCCCCAAACCCTCCTGGTGACTAGAGGGCAACCATTTCCCACTCCCACCCAACTTCTAGATCAGCAGGAATTCTATCCCAGCCCAGCTGTCCTGCCCCCAGCTACCTTTTGGGAAGGCAAGGAACTTTTTCTGGGATGAAGTATCCTACCCCAGCCACGTTTTGGGCTAGCAGGAATTCCTTCTGGGACCAGATGCCCTGCTCTCACTTGCCTTTTGGGCCATCAGGAAAATCTTCCAGGTCCATGTGTCCTGAACCTAGATACCTTCTAGGCCAGCAGGAACTCATTCTGGGATCAGGCACCTTAATGCCAGCTGCCTTTAGGGCCAGACGGAACTCCTAGAATCAGTTGCGGTGCTCCAAACTGCCTCTTGGGTCAGCAGAACACCTTCTGGGACGTGGTACCCTGGCCTGAGCTGCCTTTAGGGCTGGCAGAAACTCCTTTTGGAACCAGGTGCCCTGTCTCCACTGCCTGCTCATCTAGCAGGAATACTATCCAGGTACCCTGCCTCCCCAGTTTTCTACTTTTTTTCAAAAAAATTTTTCTTCTTTCTTTTCTTTTTAGTTTATTTTTCTTTTCCTTGTCCCCTTTGTCCTTATTTTCATTTTTTTCTGTCCCTTGCTTTCCTTTTTTCATTTTATATTATTCTGTTTCTTTTACATCTCATTCCATCACCAAATTGTTTTTGTTTTTCACTTTGTCCCTCCCTTATTTTTTCTCCTTTTCTTTTTATTTACTTTTTCTCATTTTGTGATTGTTGCTACTTGTTTTTCCTCTAGTATTTTCTATTTGTTATGCTGTTTTTATTTTTCGTTCTCCTGTTTTTACTTTTTTTTCTGTTGTTGCTCTTTTGTGTGTGTGTGTGTGTGCTGCCCAGTGGGAATCAGCAACTATGCCCACACAACCCAAGAACATCCACACCTCCTGCAGCCCCACTGACTAGGCAAGGGCCACCACCTGCTTCTCACCAACTGATTAATGATAGAGGCCAACACAAGTTCAACCTGCCCTCGATTGCTCTACATGATCAGCTAACAGAGAACTGTGCACACATTCTTGTCCTCATCACACCCACTAGGACACAGGTGCTAAGGCCCTAAGTACTGCCAATCTAGCAGAGTAGCATATCAGCCTTACTCACTTGAATATATCAAAACAAAGCAAAAAAAAAAAAAACCTGGGCAAAACACATCAAC